ATATATATATATATGTTTTCCCTTTAAATAGGCCTTTTTTTTTTTTTTTTAATCTATAAGGAATTCTACCAACTTTTCGGTCTGAAATTGATCTAATATATAATCATGATGTACTGATATGGAAGAAATGAGGATGTAAAAGAGCTGAACAGAAAATTTCAAAGGGCAGATTAAGAAGGCAAAGTCAGGTATTAAAATGAAATCTGCACAGACCTGGAGTTAGAAGACCAAAAGGGAAGAAAATACACAGCATTTCTCTAGCTGAAATACTAAAGAAAAAAATCCAAGACTCGACTTGCAGTATTGAAAGATTCTATGGGCAAAAGAGAATGATGCAGAAAGCATCAAAAGTAGATGGAAGGCATACAACAATTTTAAGTTATGCATCAAAATACCTAAATAAGGAATGGCAATTTGTAAAATTTTAAACATCATACTATATTAGATAAATAGCTTGAATAAAATTACAAAGAAAGCATTAAAAAATATCAGCAGTAAAATCTCTTTGATAATTAAAATGACAGATTAAAAGTAAAAAATAAATATTCCTTTTGGAAAATATTAATTTGCTGTTAATGGTGGTAGAAATTTAGAAATGGATAGTGGTTGCACAACATGATGATCATAATCAATGTCATTGTAATCAGTGTAATCTACATACAAATTGTTAAATCAGCAAATGTTTTGTTATATATATTTTTACCACAATAAAATATTTTTTTAAAAGGGAAAAAAAAAAAAAGAAGAAGAAGATGGAAGGAATACACAGAGTCATTGTACCAAAAAGAAAGGGCTGGTGTTCATTTCATTTCAAAAGGTACCACATAATCCAGAAGTGATGTTACTGAAGGAAGGAGTCCAAGCTGCACTGAAGCCATTGCCAAAAAAACATGGCTCTAGGAACTGATAGAATTGAAATAGTTCAATAAACTGATGCAACACTGGAGACACTCACTCATGTATGCTAAGAAATTTGAAAGACAGCTACCTAGCCAACTGATTGGAAGAGATTCATATTTGTGCCCATTCCAAAGAGAGGTGACTCAAGGGAATGTAGAAATCATTGAATATCATTAATATCACATGCAGGCAAAATTTTGTTGAAGATAATTCAAGAATGGATGTAACAGTACATTAACAGGGAATTGCGAGAAATTCAAACGAGATTCAGAAGAGGACATAAGATGGGAATGTCAAAGCTGATGTCAGATGGATCCTGGCTGAAAGCAGAGAATACATGAAAATATGTTTACTTGTGCTTTATTGACTGTATAAAGGTTTTCAACAAGCTATGAATAACACTGCAAAGAATGGGTATTCCAGGGCACTGAATTGTTCTCACGAGGAATCTGTACATAGACCAAGAGGAGGTCATTTAAACAGAACACGGGATACTGAGTGGTTTAAAATAATGAATGGTGTGAGCCAGGATTGTATTCTTTCACCATACTTTTTCAATTTGTATTCTGAGCAAATAATCTGAGAAGCTGGATTATATGAAGAAGAATGTGGCATCAGGATTGGAAGAAGACTCATTAACAACCTGTGATGTGCAGATGATACATCCTTGCTTGCTGAAAGTGAAGAGGACTTCAAATACTTACTGAAGAAGATCAAAGACTACAGTACGGAATCTACTTCAATGTAAAGAAAACAAAGCTCCTCACCACTGGAGCAAAAAATAGCATCATGATAAATGGAGAGAAGACTGAAGTTGTCAACGACTTCATGTTGCTTGGATCCACTAACAACACTCAAGGAAGCAGCAGTCAAGAAATCAAGCATTGTATTGCATTAGGCATATCAGTTTCACAGACCTTTTTGAAGTGTTCAAGAGAAAAGACATCACTTTGAGAACATAAGTGTGCCTAACCCATGCATGAGGACTCGCAGTGGCCCCATACGATAAGAAGGTCCTCAGTTCGAGCCCACAAGCTGCTCCCACGAAGTTTTAAAACCTCAGAAACCCTATACCGGGTCACTATGAGAAGGAACTGATTCAACAGCACTTAACAACAACAACATACGCATATGAAAGTTGAACAATGAATAAGGCAGACCATAGAAAATTTGATGCATTTGAGTTATGGTGTTGGAAAAAAATACTGACAACACTGTAGACTACCAGAAGAACAAACAAATCTGTGTTGGACGAAGTACAACCAGAATGTTCCTTAGAAGCCAGGGTGACCAGACTTCATCTCTCATACTTCAGACATATTGTCAGGAAGGACTAGTCCCTAGAGAAGGACATCATACGTGATAAAATGGCGAGTCATCCAAAAAGAGGAAGACCCTCCAACAAAATGGACTGGTACAGTGGCAGCAGCAATGAACTCAAACATAGCAACAATTGTGAGAATAGCAAAGATTGGACAGTATTTAGTTCTGCTGTGCATAGGGTCGCTATGAGTACGGACCAATTTGGAAGCTGTTTGAACTACCAAGTCGGCAGTTCAAGCTCACCAGTCACTCCCTGGAAACCCTATGCAGGGTCGCTATGGGTTGCAACCAACTCGATGGCACTTAGCAACAACAACAATGTGGCACTGTAGACTAACGGTTCAAGCTCACCAGCTGCTCCTCGGAAACCCTATACAGGGTCGCTATGGGTCAAAATAGACTTGACAGCACTTAACAATAACAACAATGAATTTTTTAATTGAATTGTATTAGATCAACTGGATTTCTATGAAAAGTTTATTAATTTGGAAGTCAGATTTAATCAGG